TCTGTTCTGTTCCACTGGCTTGTGGCTCTGTTCTTTTGCCAGTACCAAATTGTCTTGATTACTGTGGCTTTGTAGTACAGCTTGAAGTTGGGAAGCGAGATGCCCCCTGCTTTATTCTTCCTTCTCAGGATTGCTTTGGCTATTCGGGGTCTTTTGTTGTCCCATATGAATTTTAAAACTATTTGTTCCAGTTCATTGAAGAATGTTGTTGGTATTTTGATAGGGATTGCAATGAATCTGTAGATTGCTTTAGGCAGGATGGCCATTTTGACAATATAAATTCTTACTAGCCAAGCCAAGAGCATAGAATTAGTTTCCATCTGTTAGTGTCCTCTTTAATTTCTCTTAAGAGTGTCATAGTTTTCAGAGTATAGGTCTTTCACTTCCTTGGTTAGGTTTATTCCTAGGTATTTTATTGTTTTTGATGCAATTATAAATGGAATTATTTTCCTGATTTCTCTTTCTGTTAATTCATCATTAGTGTATAGGAAAGCCACAGATTTCTGTGTATTAATTTTGTATCCTGCAACTTTGCTGAATTCAGATATTAGTTCTAGTAGTTGTGGAATGGAGTCTTTAGGGTTTTTTATGTACAATATCATGTCATCTGCAAATAGTGACAGTTTTTCTTCCTCTTTACCAATCTGGATGCCTTGTATTTCTTTGTTTTGTTTGATTGCCATGACTAGGACCTCTAGTACTATGTTGAATAACAGTGGGGAGAGTGGGCATCCCTGTCTTGTTCCCAACCTTAGAGGAAAAGCTTTCAGCTTCTTGCTGTTAAGTAAGATGTTGGCTGTGGGTTTGTTATATATGGCCTTTATTATGTTGAGGTACTTGCCCTCTATACCCATTTTGTTGAGAGTTTTTATCATGAATGGATGATGATTTTGTCAAATGCTTTTTCAGCATTTATGGAGATGATCATGTGGTTTCTGTCTTTTTTGTTGATGTGGTGGATGATGTTGATGGATTTTTTGAATGTTGTACCATCCTTGCATCCCTGAGATGAATCCCCCTTGATCATGGTGTATGATCCTCTTGATGTATTTCTTTTTTGGTATCATTAATCTACAGTTACATGAAGAATACTAAGTTTACTAGGCTCCCCGCTTCACCTAGTCCCCCCCACAAACCCTATTACAGTCACTGTCCTTCAGTGTAGTAAGATTCTGTAGAATCACTACTTGTCTTCTCTGTGTTGCACAGCCCTCCCTGTGGCCCCGCCACACATTATGCATGCTAATCATAATGCCCCCATTCTTTTTCTTTCTTTTTTTTTTTGCTATCATTAATCTACAATTACATGAAGAACATTATGTTTACCAGGCTCCTCCCCTCACCAAGTCCCCCACACACACCCCACTACAGTCACTACCCATTAGCGTAGCAAGATGCTGTATAATCACCACCTGTCTTCTCTGTGTTGCACAGCCCTCCCCGTGCACCCTCCCACACATTATACATGCTATTCGTAATGCCCCTTTTCTTTTTCCCCCCCTTATCCCTCCCTTCCCACCCATGCTCCCCAGTCCCTTTCCCTTTGGTAACTGTTACTGCATTCGTGGGTTCTGTGATTCGGCTGCTGTTTTGTTCCTTCAGTTTTTCTTTGTTCTTATACTCCAGATATGAGTGAAAACATTTGGTACTTGTCTTTCTCTGCCTGGCTCATTTCACTGAGCACAGTACCCTCTAGCTCCATCCATGCTGTTGCAAATGGTAGGATTTGTTTTCTTCTTATGGCTGAATAATATTCCATTTTGTATATGTGCCACATCTTCTTTATCTATTCATCTACTGATTGATGGACACTTAGGTTGCTTCCATTTCTTGGCTATTGTAAATAGTGCTGCGATAAACATAGGAATGCATCTTTCTTTTTCAATCTCTTGATGTATTTTTGAATTCAGTTTGCTAATGTTTTGTTGAGTATTTTTGCATCTATGTTCATCAGGGATATTGGTCTGTAGTTTTCTTTTTTTGTGGTGTCTTTGCCTGGTTTTGGTATTAGAGTGATGCTGGCTTCATAGAATGAGTTTGGAAGTATTCCCTCCTCTTCTATTTTTTGAGAAACTTTAAGGAGAATGGGTATTATGTCTTCTCTATATGTCTGATAAAATTCAGCATTGAATCCATCTGGCCCAGGGGTTTTGTTCTTGGTTAGTTTTTTGATTACTGATTCAAATTCCTTGCTGGTAATTGGTCTGTTTAGATTTTCTGTTTCTTCCTTGGTCAGTCTTGGAAGGTTGTGTTTTTCTAGGAGGTTGTCCATTTCTTCTAGGTTTTGCAACTTGTTAGCATATAGATTTTCATAGTATTCTCTAATAATTTTTTGTATTTCTTTGGGGTCTGTCATGATTTTTCCTTTCTCATTTCTGATTCTGTTTATGTGTGTGCATTCTCTTTTTCTCTTAAGAAGTCTGGCTAGGGGCTTATCTATTTTGTTTATTTTTTCAAAGAACCAGCTCTTGGTTTCATTGATTTTTTTCTATTATTTTATTGTTCTCAATTTTATTTATTTCTTCTCTGATCTTTATTATTTCCCTCCTTCTGCTGACTTTGGGCCTCATTTGTTCTTCTTTTTCCACTTTCAATAATTGTGACTTTAGACTATTCATTTGGGAATGTTCTTCCTTCTTTAGATAGGCCTGGAATGTTATATACTTTACTCTTAGAACTGCCTATGCTGTGTCCCACAGAATTGGGGCTTTATGCTGTTGGTGTCATTTGTCTCCATATATTGCTTGATCTCTGTTTTAATTTGGTCATTGATCCATTGATTATTTAGAAGCATGTTGCTAAGCCTCCATGTGTTTGTGAGCCTTTTTGTTTTCTTTGTACAATTTATTTCTAGTTTTATGCCTTTGTGGTCTGAGATGTTGGTTGGTAGGATTTCAATGTTTTTGAATTTACTGAGGCTCTTTTTGTGGCCTACTATGTGGTCTATTCTGGAGAATGTTCCATGTGCACTTGAGAAGAATGTGTATCCTGCTGCTTTTGGGTGTAGAGTTCTGTAGATGTCTGTTAAGTCCATCTGTTCTAGTGTGTTGTTCAGTGCCTCTGTGTCCTTAGTTATTTTCTGTCTGGTGAATCTGTCCTTTGGAGTGAGTGGTGTGTTGATTTCTCCTAAAATGAATGCATGCATTTCATTCTATTTCCTCCTTTAATTCTGCTAGTAGTTGTTTCACATATGTTGGTACTCCTGTATTGTGTGCATGTATATTTATAATGGTTATATCCACTTGTTGGACTGTCCCCTTTCTCATTATATAATGTCCTTCTTTATCTCTTGTTACTTTCTTTATTTTGAAGTCTATTTTATCCTGTACCAGTACTGCTACACCTGCTTTTTTCTCCCTATTGTTTGCAGGAAATGTCTTTTTCCATCCCTTGACTTTTAGTTTGTGTATGTCTTTTGGTTTGAGGTGAGTCTCTTGTTAGCAGCATATAGTTGGGTCTTGCTTTTTTAATCCATTCTGTTACTCTATGTCTTTTGATTGGTTTATTCAGTCCGTTTACATTTAGGGTGATTATTGAAAGAGATGTACTTATTGCCATTGCAGGCTTCATATTTGTGGTTACCAGAGGTTCAAGATTAGCTTCTTTACTATCTGTCTAACTTAACTTGCTTATTAAGCTATTATAACCACAGTCTGATGATTCTTTATTTCTCTCCCTTCTTATACCTCCTTCTCCATGCTTTATATGTTAGGTGTTTTATTCTGTGTTCTTTTGTGTTTCCTTTGACTGCTTTTGTGAGTAGTTGATTTTATTTTTTGCCTTTAGTTAGTATTTGGTTGGTCTGCTTTCTTTGCTGTGATTTTATTTTCTCTGGTGACATCTATTGAGTGTTAGGAGTGTTTCCATCTAGAGCAGTCCTTCTAAAATACCCTGTAGAGGTGGTTTGTGGGAGGCAAATTCCCTCAACTTTTGCTTCTCTGGGAATTGTTTAATCCCTCCTTCAAATTTAAATGATAATCATGCTGGATACAGTATTCTTGGTTCAAGGCCCTTCTGTTATCATTGCATTAAATATATCATGCCATTCTCTTCTCGCCTGTAAGGTTTCTCTTGAGAAGTCTGATGATAGTCTAATGGATTTTCCTTTGTAGGTGACCTTTTTTCTCTCTCTGGCTGCCTTTAATACTCTGTCCTTGTCTTTGATCTTTGCCATTTTAATTATTATATGTCTTGGTGTTGTCGTCCTTGGGTCCCTTATGTTGGGAGTTCTGTGGGCTTCCATGGTCTGAGAGACTGTTTCCTCTCCCAGTTTGGGGAAGTTTTCAGCAATTATTTCTTCAAAGACACTTTCTATCCCTTTTTCTCTCTCTTCTTCTTCTGGTACCCCTCTAATGCAAATATTGTTCCATTTGGATTGGTCACAGTTTCTTAATATTCTTTCATTCCTGGAGATCCTTTTATCTCTCTCTGCCTCAGCTTCTCTGTGTTCCTGTTCTCTGATTTCTATTCCATTAACGGCCTCTTGCACCTCATCCAGTCTGCTCTTAAGTCCTTCCTGAGATTGTTTTATTTCTGTATTCTCCCTCCGAACTTTATCCTTTACCTCTTGCGTATTTCTCTGCAGATCCGTCAGCATGGTTATGACCTTTATTTTTACTTCTTTTTCGGGGAGATTGGTGAAGTCTATCTCCCTAGGCCCTCTGTCAGGGGTTGTCTGGGTAATTCTGGACTGGACCAAATTCCGCTTTTTCATGGTGATAGAGGTAGCTTTAGGCAGGTAGCGCGTGTGTCAGCTGGGAGAACCAAGTCCTTTCCTGCTTGCTGGTTGCCTTGCCATTCTCCGTTGCCTGTGTCGGTTGCCCACACTCCCAGAGCGGCCTCTGGGTTAATCCCCTAAGCTGCTGTGTGCGGGGAATCCGTCTGGGTAGCACAGAGCCCTGCAGGGAGTGGCAGGTGCACTGAGTGTGCTCTCCTGTGAGAGTGGTGCCCCTGCCAGGCAGCTGCGCACTGTCAGTGGCCTTTGGGTCTGACGTGGGTAGCTGTGCACTGGAAGGGGATTCTGTTCTGCTGCTGGGGGTGTGGCTGCTCCTGGGCTGCTGTGCCGCCACCGCCGCCATGGGCTCATGTGGGCTGCTTCTGGTCTGCTTGGCTGCCGCCAGCTCGCATGGGCCGCCCCCGGGCCACTTGGCCGCCGCCAGCTCACGTGGGCCACTGCTGCCACTAGCTCCCACAGGCCTCTCCCCAGCCCATCTGGCGCCGCTGCCAGCGCATGTGGCTGCTCTCCCACTCCTGGGCCAGTATGTCAGGGTCTGCGCCACCTGGGGGAACAACTGGCAGGCTCCTTATCGCCTTGAGGAGCTTCAGAGCTGCACTGCTGCCCAGGGGGTTAGGTCACCTAGAGTTCCCCAGGATTCCCAGCTGCTGGGCTGTGTGTGCCAGGTGGACTTCGTCCAGCTGTGAGGTCTCTGTCTCTTTAAGACTTTCAAAAAGCACTCGCTTTTCTTTTGTCCCAGGGGAGCCAGTTGTGGGGACCCACTCCAGGTTTTGCTTTTCCGTTTTTTTAATATCCAGCACACCATGAACAGTGTGTCCGTGCTACCAGTGCGGATTACTAGAGCTGGTTGTTTAGCAGTCCTGGGCTTTCACTCCCTCCCTGCTCTGACTCCTTTCTTTCCGCCGGGGAGCTGGGGTCGGGGGGGTGCTTGGGTCCCGCCGGCTGCGGCTTGTATCTTATCCCCTTCGTGTGATGCTGAATTCTTGCAGATGTAAATGTAGCCTGCCTGTTTTACTGTATCCACTGGTCTCTCTTTTAGGAATAGTTGTATTTGTTGTATTTTCAAAAATATATTTTTGGGAGGAGATTTCTGCTGAACTACTCATGCCGCCATCTTGGCTCTTCCCTCCCATACTGTTTTTTGAATACATAGGGTAATTGGGTATGTTCTGGGCTTTGGACACTAAGCAACTAAATGTTGGTCTGGGGAAGAACTGTAGTTTTCAAAAGTACTCGCCAATAACGACAGCAACAGTACAACACTGTGATAATACCTGATGACATTTCGTAGTTGCTCTGTGCATATTCTCATTTGATTTCTGTCAGCCCTCTAAGGGACAGACATTTTTTATCCTATTTTATAGATGAAGAGGAACATATCAGAAAGGTTAAGTAATTTAAACAAGGTTGTATGGCTATTAAATCATACCCAGGTGTCTAGTTTCCAGCCTTTTATATCAGAAGATACAAAAACTTATGTATACTTAATTGAGATGGCTAAATAGTGCAGGCAGTCCCCTCCTCTCCAAATCTGAGCAGCTGCTGTTTTTTGAAGAAGAAAATGATTCTTGAATGTGACTTGTGACTAGAAGAGGAACAGAAATAGAGATGAGAGAGTTGGGGGAGTCAGAATTCTCTGACTGCCACCCAGGTTGTCAGTACCTCAGAAACTCCCCATGCATTTCCTCCCCATCTAGCTCTCACTTGCCCTGACAGGTAATTGTCATCCTGACCTGTGGAATTAATTTCTGTGCTGTGCTTTATACGGTTGTCATCTGAGGATGCAACCTTAAACAAAATATAGTTTGAGTTTTGCTTGCGTGTAAGTGGAATCATGCTACTCATATTATTTATATTCTTTTCTCTCTGGCTATGTAATGTTTGTGAGTTCTGTCTGTGTCAGTGTGTGCAGTTGTAGTTTATTCATTTTCATTGTACAATACTACATTTTATTAACTTATTGCAGTTTATCCATTCTTGTGTTCATGAACATTTGAGTTGTTTTCTCTTTGGGACTATTATGAGCACTGAGTCCATTGGTGGTTATTGTAATTATTGTTCTATTTGGATTTATATATACCATCCTGTTTTTTAAAAATCCATTTTATTGAAGTAAAGTTTGCATGCAGTGAAATGTACCCATTTTAATTGTCCATTTCAATGAGATTGACCAATTTACATACCTACGTAACTAATCATTATCATTGTCAAGATACAGAACATTTCCCAGAAAGCTATGTGTCCATCCTAGTTGACCTCCATATTCCTACACTTGGCTTTCTATCACCATACATTAGATGTGTCTTTAGATTCTAGAGTTTCATGTGAATGGAATTATACAGTGTGTACTTTTATGTTTGCCTTCTTTTGCTCAGCATAGTATTCCTGAGATTTATTCATGTTGTTGCAGTATTTCATTCTTTTGTATTACCGAATAGTATTCTATTGTGTGGATATATTACAGTTTTGCTTATCTAGTTATCTACTGATGAACATTTGGGTTGTTTCTAGTTTTGGGCTATTATGAATAAAACTGCCATGAATGTTTGTAAGAAAGTATTTCTGTGAACATGTTTTAATCTCTTGGGTAAATACCTACGAGTGTATTTCCTGGGTCATATGTTAAGTGTATGTTTAACTGTATAAGAGACTGTTAAAACTATTTTTCAGAGTGGTTGAACTATTTTACATTCCCTCTAGCAGTGTGAGTGAGCTGCCAATTTCTTTGCATCCTTGTCAGCATTTAGTATTGTCAGTTTTTTTTTTTACTGTAGCTTTTCTACTGGATATGCCATGCTATTTCATTTTGCAAATATTTTCCCTCAGTGCTTTCCCATTCTCCCACCTATTCTATTTTTTCTCCTTTCTTACTTTCTTTTGGATTTATTTTACTATTCTTTCTCCCCTTCCCCAAATAGGATGCTTTTCTCTTAGTGGTTACCCCAGGAATTAGGACATGCATACTTACCTTGCCAAAAGTCAGAAGTTATTCAGCCTTTTCATTCTCCTCCTAAATAATACAGGGACCATAGAACACATAAATTCTATTCATTCCTTCCAAGTTTATCTTCCCAGTGTATATTCTAGGATGTTGTCAGATATTTTAAATTCTCCCTTTAATCCTTCAAGACAAATTACTATTTTCATTTCTGTTTTGTATTATTTTATTGATGTTTGTTTAGACTCACCCATATATTTACTACTTTTTTTTCATTCCTTTTTGCATTTCAGACCCTCTGCCTGGGATCATTTTCTTTCTGCCTGAAATATATATATATTTAAAGTCTTTTTTTAAAAATTGAAGTATAGTTGCCATTATAATAGTTTCAAGTATGGAAGTATAATCTTTAGAATTTATTTAGTGAAGTTCTTTTGATGACAAGCTTTTAAAATTTTTATTTGTCAGAAAAAGGCTTTATTTTCCCTAGTCCTAAAAGATCTATGTTCACTGGTCATAGAACTCTAAGTTAACAGTTATTTCCTTTAGCCTGTTTAAGATATTTTACTGTCTCTGGGCTTTCCTTGTTGCTAATTAAAAGTCAGCTATTAGCCTAGATATGTCCCTTTTGAAAGTAATCTATCTTTCCTCTCTGGGTGCTTTCCAGGTCTTTTTTTTCTTTTTAACTCTTTGATGTTCTTCAGCTTTAATGATTTGTTTAGATTTGGATTTATTTTTTATTGTTCCTGCTAAGTATTTAATGGGCTTCATGTATCTGTGACTTGATTTCAGGAGTTTTGGAAATTCCTTAGCTGCTTTTTAAAAACATTTTTTTTCTCTTTTTCTGTGATTCTGATTGGACATATATTAGACCTTACTCTGTCTTTAAGGTCTCTTAAACCTCTCTCTCACTTTTCTGGCTCTCTTTTTTGTGCTACATTCCAGATAACTTCCTTAACTCTGTCTTTCAGTTTACTGAATCTTTCCTTAGCTATATCTAATCTGCTAAATATGCCCCACTGAGTTTTGTATTTCAATTATATATTTTTATTTCTATATTTTTTTCAAGTCTGCTTTTTCTTTATAGTTTCTTGTTTCTGAACATACTTGTAAGCTTGTCTTTTATTTCTTTACAATATATTAAATACAGTTATTTTAGAGACTCTATGATAAAGAGGTCTTTTTAGATGAGTTTCTGCTGCTTGTTGCTCATGTGCCTTGTTTGTGCCATTTTCTGTAATTTGCTTATTTTCTGTGGGACTTCATTAGTAGGAATTCTTGGAGATTTTGGATTGAGAATGGGGAGAGGATTTGAGTTTGCTTTCATCCACAGCTTGGTATGGGCAGTCTGAAGTAATCACCGTGAATTAAAATATCTGCTGGAGTGTTTTCAGACCACCCAGGTAACGTGAAATCAGGCTGCACACCCCTGAGAAGGCTACTGCATAGTCCTTATTTTCTGTGCAATATTTTAGTCAGACCCAGGGTTTTCTAGTCAGTCCCAGGGTTTGACATAGTCAATCTCCAACCATCTTCTCAAAGGGTTGAGGGTTATTTTTGATTCACCCTTATACTTTGGATGTTGCTCTGTAGGATCCCAGCTTTATGGCAGAGACCTTGGGTATCCTCTTATGTTTGCTGTACCCATGAGTACTTAGAAGCCACAGCTCAAGTTCACCAGGTAGCAAATGTTCAGTGTAAAGGCTGGCTATAGTCCTCACTTACATTTGCCCAATCTCTGACCAGAGGATTCCTTCTTAATTTTCTAATTCATGGATGCCTTCTAAAAGGACTTTTGAAATACTTATCCGAAGATAATTAGTTGTTTCATTGAGAGAGTAGATCTAGGTACCTAGTTTGCCTGCTGTATAACTAGAGGAAATGCTGTGATTCCTTTTTTCTTTTTACTGTCAGACTCTAGCTTTTTTTTTAAGCTCTGTTTCTGAGCAGTGTGTCTGGGGCACCCCATATCTAGGGTGGCAAGGACATTAGGCTGCTCTTACTAAGAGTAGCTCCTTTTCCAGCAACTACGGTCTAGTTTTATGGCAAATGGTGCTACTGGGCTTACATTTTAAAATTTTTCCAAGAGGTGTTTTTAAGGTATAGATTACTTAGAGAACTAATTGGGTGGGGAAGAAAGGTAAAGCATTGGGGAGGGAAGCTGCAGCTGAAATGATAGAAGCCATTTATTACCAAAAGGGTTTGAGCTGCAGATCTGGAAAAGAATGCTCTCTAGTTTCAGCCACATTGCATTACATTGCATATCTGGTGAACCCTGTTGGCCCATAAAATCCTTTCCATTAGTCAGGGTGCTCTGTGCTTTTGTTCTTAAGTACTGTTGTTCTTAGAGATGTTTGGTTCACTTATATGTCTCAGCTTTTTAGAAGGCAGATTGTCATATTTAGGAATTTATTTATTGTAATTGGAGTTTTCTGGCTTCTTTAGTCCCCTCTTCAGATGTAAGACTCCCAACTTGAAGCTTATTTCAGAAAATGCCCGTGTGATCCCTTGCCCCAAGTGCCAACAGCAGATGCAGCAGTTGACACGCTACAGGGAATTTTCAACTGCTGGGCAGGTTTCTGAAATCCAGACACG